CTTAACCATTTGTATTTTTCTTTCTCTCCATTTTTTGTTTGTAGGTTGGCCTGGGGTATGGGTCTTCTAGGTGGGTGTCCTGGGACTGCTGGGGCCAATGAGTAGCCCTCACACAGCTTGCACTCAGGTATGGGTAGTTCAGGCAGGTATTCTTAGGCAATCTCTAGGTAATTTGTTTTTCAACTGGGTCCAGCTTTATATAAGATTTTATTTTTAGAGTAGTTTTAGGTTTATAACAAAATTGAGGGGAAGGTACAGAGACTTCCCATATGCTCTTCCCCCAACATCTGCATGGCTTTTCCCATTATCAAATTACTTGCCAATGTGGTGCACTTTTTTACAAAGGATGAACCTTTATTAATACATCACAATCACCCAACATCCAGTTCTTTTAGGGTTTGATCTTGGTGTTGTACTTTCTATGGGTTTGCACAAATACTTATAATATTTTTACAGTTCTAAACACCCTCTGTGCTCTACCTATTCATCTTTCCCTAGCACCACACTGACAACAACTGATCTATTCTACTGTCCCCATACTTTATTGTCCCCAAATGCCACACACTTGGACTCACAGGGTATGTAGTTTCTTTAGATTAGTTTCTTTCAACTAACAATATGTATTTCATGGCTTGATAGCCCATTTCTTCTTAGGTTTGAATATTATTCCATTGTCTGGATATCCCCCAGTTTATCCATTTCCCTAATAAAGGACATTTTGGTTGTTTCCAAGTTTTGCAATTGTGAATAAAGCTGTGTTAAGATCTGTTGGCAGGTTTTTGTGCAGACATAAGGTTTCAATTTGTCTGAGAAAAAGAGCAAGGGTGAACCATATGGTCAGAATGTTTAGTTTTAGAAAAAACTTCCAAAAGTTTTCTAACATGATTGTACCATTTTGCATCCTTACCAGCAGTGAATGAGGGTTCCAGTTGCTCCATATCCTCACCAGCATTTGGTGTTGTAATTTTTTGTTTTTACATTTTGGCATAAATTTATCTATTTTCTCATATTTTCACATTTACTAGTAGAGAGTTAGTCACAGCTTTCCTGTTTTGCTTTTAATGCTTTAACATAAATGTGTGGTTTTCCAGTATATCTTTTCTCTCCTGAGTATCCTTGATCGAGGTTTACAGTAATGAAACATTTTATGAAAGACTAGCTCTTGGGCCTCCCTGGTGGTGCAGGCAGTTGAGCGCAGCGTTGTGAAGCTGTCCGCAGCCTCTGCAGTGTCGGTTCGATCCCTGCCGGCCTCGAAGCAATCCACATGGCGAGGAGACCTCTCCTATCTCGCCCACTGCTCCCCTCAGCAGTGTATTTCGTCAGTCTGCCTGTTCTGTTCCCCGCTCTGTCTCTGGTGAATCTTCTCACCCTCCCACGCATCTGGCCTGTACCCCGGCTCTTGTATAAATAAATCTTAAAAAAAAAAAAAAAAGACTGTCTTTTGATTTTGCTTGTCTATTTAAGTTTTATCATATAAATAATTATCTTAGTCTTTATAATTACTTTCTTTCACATTTCTTACTCAATTTTCATTTTTGTAATTTCAATTTTTATTCCTTTTAAAACTTAGAAACTTAAATCTTAAAAACCATATAGAAAAAATAATACAACCCTTAACCAGAATATATTAATTTTTCATCCAGTTCCAAATAACTGTGTTTTCCTCTTTAACTAATGAGTGAAATGAGGATTGTTAAGTTCTCACACATATGTTTACATGTTTAGAATTTCTATTGACTTCTGATTTAATCATAGCAGGCCAAATAAAGTGGCTTACATGAAATAGAGTGCTTAAATTAGTGGATCTTCCCATATATGAGCAGCTTTTTAGAAGTTACTCAGATTGTAAAAAACAATCAAGAGTCTACTCTGCTGGGTTCAGGATTCTCTGTATTCCTACTAATTCTAATCTTTTAATACTGTTAAAGATATTCTACTATCTGATTTGATATTTTCTATTCTACATTCTTTTTTTCTTCACATCTTAATTTTTCTCCCTTCTTGATTTTTTAAATTAAATATACATTTATTTGTATCTTTTTCTGCTAGGTTAGAAGCTATGGATTATATACATATTCCTTTAATAACTACAGTCAATATTACAGTTGTTCTTAACATTTTAAATACCTAATTAAATATAATATGGTCCTAAGTTATCCTCTATTTTATTTCTCCTAACTGGGGGCCAGGGAAAGGGATAGGAAGATGTAGACTACATCTTATGATTTAATCACTCACTGAATGACCCTACTCTCGAAACACACACACACACACACACACACACACATTCCCAATGTATTATTATAATAAGTTTTACATTAACCTTACGTTATCAATTCATAGAGAATTAAACTTTTAGACACTGCATCCATTTCTCTACACACTATTGCCTCTTAAACTCAATGTTTTCCTCCACATTCACATTTCTTCTTTCTAAAGTATAATTTTCAATAATTCCTATGGTAAGGATAGCTGGTAACACATTTTCTCAAACTCTGAAAGTTTTACTTTGATTTCACTAGTGACATGTTGGTATAAAGTTCTGGATGGATAGTTATGTTTCCTCAGCACTTTGAAAACATCTGGCATTACCTTCTGGCATTCACTGTGCCTAAGTCGGCTCCCAGTCCAGTGATTGTTTCTATGTTAGGAAATCTGTTTTATCCCTTCACATTTTCCCTGTCCTCCATTTTATTAAATAGGCTAATGCTTTTTGATGTGGATTAATTGTCATCCTTCTTTTTAGTTTTTTGGATAAAGCTTGGGGACTGTCTTTCTTTAGTACTGCGTAATCTCAGCTAGAATCTCTTCAAAACTATCCCTGCCATTCCTTCCATGTTTCTTTCTTCACGATTATATAAGACTGTATCTAACAGCATGTCTGTGTTTTCCCATGTCTTTGTGCTAGGGCCAGGGGTGTCCAGTCCTTAATTCTCTTCAAACTGAATCCAGCATTTTTAAAATGCCAGTAACTATATATTTCATTTCCACAATTTCTAATAGACTCTTTTTCATACCCACCTGTTGCCACCACTTCACTTCTCCACTGTTTCATAGTCCCTTGCCCTCTATTACAGACATTTTTTTGATCATTCATCTTCCTGAGCATTACACTCATTTCAAAGCTTTTGTCAGGCTTTTTTTTTTTTTTTTCTTTTTTACTGCATGTGATCTAAATGGCAATCTGTTGATTTTTGTAGCTCATTTCTTAGGAAATTGCTTAATGTGTCTGGGAATGCTGATTTATAGGCAGATTTGTTTGGGTGGGCTATACTTTGTTTTTCCTTTCCACCATCTCCCCTTACCCCCTCCCTGTGTGGTGGGGGCTAGTACCTTATGGAAGGCTGAGAGGCTGAGCCTGGGTGGCCTTGTTGGTCTGAGTTAGCCGTGGCTACACTGACAGGCACTGTTTGGCCATGAGCTCACACTCCCTGCTTTCTGGGGTCTTTCAGGAGCAAGAGAGCCCCACCTATTAGGTCAAAGGTAGTAAGCATGGTCCTTACTATTGCCTGGGACCTGAGCTGCCAGTCCTCTGGGAATGTTGGGTCTGTAGCCTGGTGGACAAAGGGTCAGCACTGCTCACTGCTTTGTCCCGTGTCTGCACCAGGCTGAGTCCTCATGGTGTTCCTGCTTTACAGCTATGTGTGTGGAATTACTGAGGGCTGGAACGGAAGACAGTCAATATAATGGGTGGACCTGAAAGTATGACTGATCTGGGAAGTTGAGTTCAGTGTGGAAGGGTATTTTATTCAATCCTTCAGTGTTCTAACACTCACTTCAACTGCTTGCTATGAACTCCTCACCAGAAAAGAGAATTTGTTTTCTTCCACATTAAGCCTCTTCTATCTTCTGTATCACAAATTTCCCCTAATGACACTACCCGTCATTTTACTGATATTATGGGTTTGATGTCTATAAAACACTGAATATACAACCTAAAGACACAGGATAAGACATGCTTTAAAAAGGTCTTTTAGTGTAATATTTTTTCTAACTTTTCAGTGCAGTATTAACATGGATTTTTATGTGAACAGTGATACCAAAAACCTAAATTATTTTAGTTTAAAGGAGACTATTTGTAAGCAATAAAATGTAGTGAGCTGAAGTTTTCCTAAGTTTCAACGCTAATATTAACAAGTTGATCCTCTGTCGCTGTATCATCTGATTTAAAAGTTTTCTGTAAGATAACCCTAAATTTATGCCTGACCCAGAAAATCCTGACTACAAAGAGAGAAAGAAACAAAAAGAAAATCCTGCCTGCTTTTACAAATATTCTAATCTTGAGAAATTTTCTCTCTGACATCCTGGTCAGCTCCTTGCTTTCATTTTTGTTGATTTACATCCTTTTTCTCATTAAGCAATTTAAAAAATCTGATTATCCAATTCCTATAATCTCTAGAGCCTACAATTTCTTGTACTTAAACTCTAATAATTCCAACAGCTAGCCATGTGCATCTCTCCTATTCTTATAGTCAGTCTAGCTCCTGGCTAAGGTCCTCATCCAACATAAAAGCTGCATTTATTAGAACTAATATAATAATCCTTGCTTCTGTGAATTCCTATACTTCCCGTAACTAGAAAGAATAAAAGGAATTATAGAAAGACAGAGGATTTCTGAGTGCAGATACATCTAAATTTGCTTAAGTGCAAGTATAAAAGCGCCAAATCAGGAGGCTGTGGCTAAGAGAGAGCCCTCAATAGTGAGGTCAAGTTGTTTTTAAGTAGAATCCTGAGACAGCTGATAGGAAATGAATTTTGAAATACTGCTCACTGATATTGGTTAACTTAAAGAAAATAGATGAAATTATCATAGCCAGGTATGTTTTTTTATTTTCTTAGAATTTATTTTCCTTAAAAACAAAAAAAAAAAAAAGAGCCAAATTTAGAATCTTATTGTATCAGTATGCAGAACTTCTAAGACTACAAAGTCCTGGCACACTGCAGCGTCATAGCTGGGAGGAAAGGTAGAACCTATCACTGTATTTTTTGTCATTCCTTACCTTGGTGATTTGCCAACCGGTCAGACTGTGCTGGGAAGCCAGGTCCTGCCAGCTCACGTGCACTATGGGGCGAGGTCTGCTCCACCTGGTCCTGAGAAGCAGGGACAGAGAGGCTCTGGTCAGAAGCTTTCATACGTCCCTATCCACTGTCCCTGTCATCCCCTTTTCTCCTTCAATTCTTGATTGCCCTTCACTTTGTGTACTTTTTTTAAGTTTTAAATGACAGCTGTTTAAAATATTCTCTAAAAGGCAACTTAATCATGAAAAGGTACAACTTGCTTGGCAAGGAAGTTAGAAAAAAAGTTATTCCTGGTTTTTTTGACTTAAATTGTTTTTCTCAGGCCTCCCTGGTGGCGCAGCAGTTGAGCGCTGGGTTGCGAAGCTGCCCGCAGCCTCTGCAGGCCGGTTCGATCCCCGGCTGCTCCCCGGCCACTGGAGGAGGGTCCCGCATGGCGCGCAGACCTCTCCTGCCGCCTGCTGCTCCCCTCAGCAGTGTACTTCCGTCCTTCTGCCTGTTCTGCTCCCCGCTCTGGCTCTGGTGAATTCTCTCACCCTCCCGTGCTTCTGACTGTACCCAGTGCTTGTATAAATAAATAAATAAATCTTTAAAAAATAAAATAAAATAAAATAAATTGTTTTTCTCAAATAGCAATTCAAAAAGAATTATTTTCAACTGCTCCAGGGTAGGAAGGACTGTAAATAATTAGCATTCCACGGAATATACTCATTTTCTGTAACTACTACAGGTAACCAAGCCCTCAGCAACATGATACTTGTTACTGATCATTTGGAAACCGGCTCCCTCCACAAAGTATAAAGGAGCCCAGTGGCATTTGTTAAATATCAGGCTTAGGACAAACTGTTCAGGCAAAAGTTAAAAGCAGTAATGTTACGATTAAGGCCACAACATCTTTCTGGGACGTAACAAGACTTTGAAAGGTACATTAGATGTGGGAAAACAAAATAGAACTTTTTTTTTTTTTTAAAGATTTTATTTATTTATTTATTTATTTTTTTATTTATGCAAGAACCGGGGTACAGGGCAGTGGCATGGGAGGGTGAGAGAATTCACCAGAGACAAGAGTGGGGAGCAGAACAGGCAGATCTACTGAAATACACTGCTGAGGGGAGCAGCGGACAAGACAGGAGAGGTCTGCCTCACCATGTGGGATTCTCCCCGGCCGGCGGAGATTGAACCCGCGCTGCACAGGCTGCAGACAGCTTCACAGTGCGGCGCTCAACCACCTGCGCCACCAGAGAGGCCCTGAATATACACGTTTCTAACAAAATATTAGTAGTGAATGATTAACAAAAGGTTAACAAGGGTTGATATCAACTTCTCCTACCGATCCAAGAAATCTGTGAAAGGTTTATAATGTATACATATTAACTCTAATATTACATAGCTTCAGAACTGTGTCAAAAGTATAAGATCTGCAAGTAAAGTCTACAACTAATAATAATAATATAGTAGTTAACTTCACTAACCTCATCCCTATCTATGCAAAGGAACCTCCCTGCACAGCATGTGGAATTGTCCTCATGCAGGTGTGCCCATGTGGGGAGAAAACTAATCTCCCTCTACCCTTATAGGTTGGGAAATAATTAAATTGACAAGTGAGATTAGCGAAAGAAAAGACAAATTTAGGGGCCTCCCCAGTGGCGCAGCGGTTGAGCGCTGGGTTGCGAAGCTGCCCGTAGCCTCCGCGGCGCCGGTTCGATCCCCGGCTGCTCCCCGGCCACTGGAGGAGGGTCCCACATGGCGCCCAGACCTCTCCTGCCGCCCACTGCTCCCCTCAGCAGTGTACTTCGGTCCTTCTGCCTGCTCTGCTCCCCGCTCTGGCTCTGGTGAATTCTCTCACCCTCCCGCGCTTCTGACTGTACCCAGTGCATGTATAAACAAAACAAACAAACAAACAAATAAATAAATTAAAAAAAAAAAAAAGAAAAGACAAATTTAAATGATATGTGCATGTCCATATATAGAATAATAGCACCTATAACGTGGTTATTCCAGTGAGGTTATGCAATAGCTACAAAGCAGAAAATAAATTTAGGAGGGAAAGACAGAACAAAGAACTTTGCAATTTAAAGAAAAAGGCATTTTGCTGGGTTTATCTATATATAAATGGAAAATAGACCTTGTAAACTCTAGTTTGGGGTGACAGGGCTCTCATCAAGGACCACTAAAAAGAAGACTGATTTAACTGATTTATGGAAATGGATAATTAGACAAAAAAACTTAATTCCTGGATCTTCTTTTAATTTCTCTCAATTCAAAATAATCAGCATGCCACTTAGGCACATCCTGGGGCAGCCTGCAATAGCCAATGTGCAGATAGCTGACTCTGGGCTGGGTTCCCATCCCACAGCTAAGAACACTGATGCACAACAAAGTTGTGTGGGGCCTCCCCAGTGGCGCAGCAGTTCAGCTCTGGGTTGTGAAGCTGCCCGCAGCCTCTCAGCACTGGTTCGATCCCCGGCCCCCAGGCAAGGGTTCCACATGGCGCGCAGACCACTCCTGCCGCCCGCTGCTCCCCTCAGCAGTGTACTTCAGTCCTGCCTGTTCTGCTCCCCACTCTGGCTCTGGTGAATTCTCTCACCCTCCCGCACTTCTGACTGTACCCAGTGTTTATATAATAAATAAATAAATCTAAAAAAAAAAAAAGAAAGAAAAAAAAAAGAAAGTTGTGTGCACCTCATTATCACCAAGCGGGTGATAATGGTCAGCTCCAGGTTCAGAACCTAGCAGCTACACACATGACCACCAGAACTCCCCAAGAAACTCAAGAAAATACATTTATTTCTACAGGTGCTTCACTGCTTGAAAGCAAGGTGTTTCTCCTATCCACAGCCTTTGGGGAAAGAGTGATAACTCTGTTCCACTGTGTAAAGACAACCTGTGTGACACAGGTATGGGTCCGGTCACTGCTGTGAGGGGGGCCACTCACAGGAGCGGGGAGTGTTGTGGAAAGTCTAGTGGGTTAGCTCACCCACACCCACGACTCTAAGAAAAGGAAGATGCTGTTCCCTCAGAAGGCACTGAATGAAACTAGTTGTGCCACGGCTCCCCTCAGCCCACCACCCAAGCAAGCCTGCCCAGCCCAGTACAGGCTGGGTCTGGATACACAGCAGGGCTTTCACTTTTGAATACAATGCCAGAATTCTAAACAGGATAACCGGGTTCAAGTTTCCAACAGACCAACCAGTGCCATTCAAAGTTTTTGAGACCATTCAGGATTACAAAATTGACCAATATGATTAGAGTTCAACTGGCACCAATCAGACAGCTGGAATTGTTAATGGACCGATCAGTCTAGAAAAGCAGGGAGTTAGGATATAACCCAGAGCAGGTACCAGCTTGAGTACATTCATCAGACAGCTTCAGATCAGATTCATCAGAACTCTCCCTCCACAGACTCTGAGACTTTCACAGACCTTCAAAAAACCTGCCACTTCACCTGCCTCCTATCCCGCCTCTGACACCACCTGCATACAGCACCATTACTATTGGTCTGTGCCTGGTGTCTCCAAAGGAGCTCTTTGCTGTTGGCTTATGCAAACATCTCTCAAAGAACTGTGATGCTGGTTCCTGTTCTCTGGTGCCATTGCCTGTTGACAGGTGCTAACCAGCACTACTGACACTACCTGCATGCTGACCTACATTCGGCCACCTCTGAGAGAATCCACTGCTTCTGATCCTCTGGCAACACTAGTGCTGTTACAATCAGCACTGTATGGTCTGGCATCTGGTGCTGTCCAGCCCAATCTTCAGACTGCTACCAGTGTTGCTATGGTATTGCCTCAACAGACCCACCTGTGATCACGCCCAGCTGCCACTGTGAGTTAGATCCTGGTTCACCACTTACCAGTGTGCCACCAGCTCCAGCTCTCATTGAAGGGACAATGCCATCTTGCACAAGCAGTCTTTGTTTTGGACTACTGGGCACTGCAGACACAATCTAGGATAGGGCAGCTGACCATTTGTGGCCTTAGAAACTCTCCTTTTTCCAAATCTCCCCTTTGTTTATAAACCTGGTTGTTGTTGTTCCCTGAGCTGAGTGGTCTTGGGATTGTGAGCACAGGGGTGGGAATTCAGAGTGATCTATCCCCCACCTTGGCACTGTTTTAAGGGCATGAAGATACAGGCTCCCACTCAAACAAATCTGAACAAAACACAGCCCCATCACTAGGAACTGAATGTGGGGAATCAGTTATTAACTGTTTCATCTGTACAATGGGTTAAAAACCCTCAGGGGTTGCTAGGATAGCGTGAGTAAAGGTGAATGAAGCAAAAAACAAGTCGAAAGACATGGGCGCACACCCTAAAAAGCAGCCTTGATCCATCAGAAAATTTGGTTTGCTTCTTAATTTCTCCATGATGAGCTTCTTATATTGCAGGAAACCAAGTCTGGTCATATTTGGAACAAACACTTCTCCTACCTTGTATTTATATTTAATTATATTTTTGATTTACAGAGGTTTAATTCAATGAAGTCAGGTTTATTAAAATTTTCCTTTTGATTCATTATTTTAAGCTTAATTTTTATTTTGCTTTCTTTCCAAATATGATATAATACACTTTCACCTATCCTACATTTATTTTGGTGACTAGTAACAAATGAACCCCCCAAATTGGTTGACAAATTTCGCCCAGGCCCATTTAATATCCAATCATCCCTTTACACATTAGGAGGACACTCTCATTAGATGTTATAACCCTACAGAGACACAGATCTGATCTCAGCAACCTACTCACAGGTTCCCCAGATCTGCCTATTCCTGGGTCAACACTCCCATTTCGCTGCACACAGCCTGTCAACATGCTCAGCAGCAGCAGACATTTCCCCTCTAGCTTCTTTTGCATGAATTCCTCACTCATTTTCTTCCAAACAACATTTAGAATAGCTTCAAAGTTTGTTTAAATTACTAAATTCTCATCTGGAATATTTACTTATATACAATGAGTAATTACTACCAATAACTAACATGAATCTTGGTAGTGGGTCATCTGATTGAAATCAGATCACACAAATCTGGAGTACAAATAAAGAAGCTGTTACCCCACATATTTTAAAAGTTCGAGGGACCAGCCTCCAGTCACCCAGGCCCCATACAGCCCTGCGCTCTGCGGATGGGCATGGTGTGGCCCTGCAGGTGACTACTGGGTGTTTTCTGTGCACACTCCAAAGTCTAAGTTCCATCATCCACACCATGTACACTAGTGAGAAGCAAAGCAGACCCATAACATACTATTCAGAAGACAAGTAACTTTCAAATCTAATTTAAGGCAACCTCATCTAAATAGTCACTAGATTTAATAAATAAAAAAGTACAAGATGTCCAGTAAAAATATAACAGATAAAACTATTATTTTCTTTTTGTATGTGTCCCAAATATTGCATAGGGCTTATCCAAAAACTCAACAGACAGAAGCTTCAGACAGAAATTCTAATCTATTAATAACCCAAGAAAGATGTAATAATAGGAAAAAACGATGGTGTTTGTAAAATAAAAGCCAAAATACCAAGGTGGCAGGGAAAAGCTAACTACCATGGTATAGAAAATATTCCAGACAGTGCTAGGAGGTCAGATGCAAATGTGCAACCACTCTTCAAAGGCAAAGAATGGCACTCTGCAAGTTCAGGGCAGTAAAACTTGGGGGAGTAAAAGTTTCCTCACTGCTGCCTTGATTTCCTCTCAAAGCTCATTTTGTTTGCCTGGACGGGTTTCCTTTTCCAGGTTGGTGAAGAGTCCCTTTAGGGACAGGACAAGCAGGGCACTATGGCCCTGGGCCAGCACGATCCAAGCCCACCACCTCCTCTGTGGGGTGAGCCTCCCTGAAGGTGCTACCAGCAGCAGTGCCTCTTGAACCATAGCCCTTAGATACTGTTCTGGGAATGGCAGAACCTAGAAAAGGGAAGCCCTGATGCCCTTTAATTAAAACTGTGGTCACTTCACTATTTAGTGCTGGACCTTTCCAAACCCATGTGGCTGTACAAACACATTCCAAAGTCAGAAGCAGGTACCCAGCGGCTCAGGGGCAAAAACACCTCTTTCCACCACCCATAAAGTGACCATGTGCTAAAGAGTTCACTCAGCTTGCCAAAGACCTCTGAATTGGTGGGGGCCCAGTGATGTGGCAAAGATAGGAGAGGGAAAACTGAGGGCTGATTCTCTAGCTAGGCAGTATTGTTCCTATAGAAATTTCTTCTCTGAGCCACATTTCAGGGGTTGCCTTAAATGTTCCCCTCTTCCAGTCTTGTCCTTCATGCTTCTTGCTGGCCCCAGGCTGAGGCACCAACCCAGGTGGTTTCTAGTCCCCTCGAGTCCTCCAGGAAACTTCCTTAGGCCGCAGAAGGGCATCTGCTACAAACAGCTGAGTCCCCTGCCCATGGAGTGGCTTTCCTGTCCTTGTTCTGCTGACAAAGAACCAAAGTGTTAAAATTGACACATAGAAGGTGACTGGCTGGCACCTCAACTTCGTGCATGTAGCATTATGGCCTGAGGCCTGCCTGTGAGGACAGCAGAGCCCCCGTGCAGTCAGACTCACCTCGAGGATCTGACAGAAGCACAGATTCCCAGGCCAAATCAACTGTAGGGGCGGGGCGTGGCCTGAGGGCCTTGGTGTAGGAATGTTTCAGCGGTTACCTTTCCAACTGTTTTTCCTCTACTCCAAATAGACTTCTCACAGCCTGTGAGCTCCCCACCCCACTCTGCCATTTTGTCCTGACACCACTATCTGCAATGTTCATGTATAATACCCACTCGTCCTCAAGGCTAGTCCCAAAGTAGCGTTCTGGGGCCTTTCTCTGACAGTTTCATTGAAAAAAAGACCTCTCACCCCCTTGCCCAGCTGTGCCACATTAAGTCTCTTCTCCCCTCAACACAGGTCCTCCCAGACTCGTTCTCTCCATCCCATCCAGCAGCCTCACCAGGATTTGGAACAGGCGGCCTCTGCATCTCAGGGAGGGGTGAGGATGAAGGCTCCAAAGAGGAAGAAATGCCACGGGATGTGTGACCACTGTGTACCACCAACCTGATGTGGCCCAGAGCAAAACAAGCTGCATTTCAGTGGCACAGAAAAAACTCCCGACAGCCAGAGAAAAGCATCCCAATGTGGCTTTGGTACAAAACAAGACAACAGGTGATTCCCACAGATGTGAGGGGTACTTGCATTCTATGACAAGTAAAGAATCTAATAAATTCTTTTTTTTAAAGATTTATTTACTTATGCGTACAAGAGCTGGGGTACAGGCCAGAAGTGTTGGGGGTAGTGAGAGGATTCACCAGAGACAGAGTGGGGAACAGATAAGGCAGACTTACTGAAATACACTGCTGAGGGAGCAGCAGGCGAGGCAGGTGAGGTCTGCCGCACCATGAAGGTAGCTCCCTGGCTGGGGATCAAACTTGTGCTGCAGTGGCTGGTGATAGCTTCATGGTGCTGAGACTTAACCCCTTGCACCACCAGGGAGGCCCGCATCTAATAAATTCTGACCTAAGCAGCTGCCACACAGGGAGATACACAAGAGATTATGGCAGTCTGAGCAGTTACCTTATCCCCAAAATGAAACAAGGCATGCATGGGCAGCAGCCAGAGGAACCACAGCACAGCATCTGCCAGGCAGCAGTGGAGCATGGGCTGGACGGCACTCTCTGGGCCCTTCCTAGTTTTCTACTTGCTGGTTAGTCCTATCGCTTTAGGCAACTTTCTGCATTTTTGCACTTCCTTGGGGTAGAATGGTGGCTTTATAGGTAAATTGTAAGGATTAAATCAATATGATATAAACAAAAGGCTTATCCAGTGACTGAAGCTGCTAAGTGTTCTGTGAGCAGCAGAACTAACACCCGTACTAAATATAAGTCAGTGTAAGAGATAGGAATAAAGGCACAGAAAGTACCTTTAATAAGTCTGCTGAGGGCCTCCCCAGTGGCCTAGTGGTTAAGTCTCAGCACTCTCACTACTAAAGCATGAGTTTGATCCCCTGTCAGGGAGCTAACCCACATATGGTACAGCAGACCTCTCATGTCTCGCCCTCTGCTCCCCTCAGCAATGTATTTCAGTCAATCCACCTTTCCTACTCCCCACTCTGTCTCTGGTGAATCCTCTCACCCCCTGTACCTCTGGTCTACACTCCAGTTCTTCTACACTAAAAAATAAAATAAAAAATAACTCTGCTAAGACAGACAAAGGTCGGGCCTCCCTGGTGGTGCAAGGGGTTAAGCACCGCACTATGAAGCAATTCACAGCCTCTGCAGCATGAGTTCGATCCCAGGTCGGCCAGGGAGAAACCCACATGGCAAGGCAGACCTCTCCTGTCTCGCCCGCTGCTCCCCTCAGCAGTGTATTTCAGTTAGTCTGCCTGTTCTGTTCTCCACTCTGTCTCTGGTGGATCCTCTCACGCCCCACATCTATGGCCTGTGCCCTATCTCTTGTATGCATAAATAAATAAATCTTTAAAAAAAAAAAAAGACAGACAAAGGTCATTATCAGAAATAACTGGACAAGGGTTTTCAAAATGACTTTGACAGATGAAAATATTCTATCCTTATGCAGAACTACCCAAACAAATAAATCACAAACAACAGTGTGTGAGCAAATGTGGAGGAAACAAGGATGCCCACCTGAGGGTGCAGTTAAAACAATGCCAGGGGGGCTTGCTGGGAAAAGACAACACTTCCCTCCTGCTCCCAGCAGCCCCAGGGTCTTCTTCAAGGCCATTCCCTCCAGGGAGCTTCCATCTGTGCCCCACCCTGCCTGGTGCACTGGGGAAACCACTGTAGCCCCATCTGAGATACAACAGGCAAGGCTTCTGAAGATCAAAATGTGAAACACAAACACACTTTACCAGACACATACCTGTCACATAAAATGCAGTTAAAGTTATAAAATAAATCGAAATGCAAACCCATAAAATTGCCACCTTAATGAAGAACGAACTACCCTATTACCTCTTTTACACTATCTGCTATTCCAAATGGGGGATATATCATCCTACAATCTCATAAATTCCCTCATTTGCCCAATACCCACTTCTGTCAGCTACATATAGATCTTACTCTAGACTTTTAAACATAGACAATCAAGTGCTATAATGATTTCACATTTATCCTCCCCAAGGAGGATACATATAATGGCTCCCTTGTATTAATACAGATATGGTAGGGTTTCTACTGCAATATCTGCAGTCTAGGCATGGTGACAATTAGGTGAATTCTTATTTCAATTCTTTTTTTTTTTTTTTTTAATTTATACAAGAACCAGGGTACAGGCCAGATGTGTGGGAGGGTGAGAGGACTCACCAGAGACAGAGCAGGGAACAGAACAGGCAGACTGACGAAATACACTGCTGAGGGGAGCAGTGGGCATGACAGGAGGGGTCTGCCGTGCCATGTGGGACCCTCACCGGCCGACCAAGATGGAACCAGCACTGCAGGGGCTGTGGAGAGCTTCACAGCGTGGAACTCAACAGCCTGCGACACCAGGGGAGGCCCCTTATTTCAATTCTTTAATAGGTGTCATCATTACCCCCATTCTGACAGATGACAAAAACAAAGGAAGGGGACAAAGGGAACAGTTCCTCACCATAGTTAAATATCATGTGTGATCTGACAAGGAGATCAGTCTTTAACCAGCACTGTGCTGCAGGCAGCAGAGAATCTGTCACTCTACTAGCCAATGCAAGTTACCAAAACATCAAGAACCTGGCAAAGCTACAGTATCAACACCCCACATTTTGTTAATGTAAGTTCTACAAATTGTCCCTTACATAAATAACATTCATGATAAAAGAGCTAGAGTCTTTTTTGCCCAAAAGAGTCTGGCCTCTTTAAATATAATTCTTTATATCTACATAAGAACCAAAGAAGCAAAAGACTTTTTAGCAAGCTGACACTAAAAACAAATCACAAACTTCGATTCACCTGCTTCCAAGATCCTGAGAAGAAAGGAAAAACACCCCATGCCAGCCTCCATATCTAAGAATGAGGGCTCCACTTTTATTTGTTGTATTAATGTAATTTGCTGACTCCAACATGTAAGTACCTAGACTCCCTCTCATCAGAAACCAAAATACTTTTCTCCAAAATATTAAGGTGCTAAGTTTGGCAGAGACAATACTACTGTATAGAAAACCATCAAGTTTTCACTAAAATCTTACTGTACCAGCAATATTGATCTAAAAGGACACACTGTACTCAACACATGGATACTTCTACATAAATACCTCCAAGTGCTTCTATTATTAACATGATTATTAACATGATTAGTGCCTCTATTATTAACTAGCAGATGATTCCTCACTTTAAATGTATTTACCTGTCCTGGGACTCAGAGAAATGTAAGCATCCATTTCAGTTTTCTAAAGGGAGGGGAAGTTGGCTATCTTTAAATTTTTTAAAAGTTTTATTGAGATGCCAGCTAATTAACACAAATTTTCATCTGTTGAGAAGTGTACAATCCAAAAAGTTAGCATAATTACAGATCTGCACATCCATCACAATCAAATTTAGAATGTTTCCAACCAAGCATCCTACAAAAAAACTGATGCCCAGTCTCTGTCATTCTTGACAAATGAATGGTTTTTCCAAAACAAAATGCTTTTGCCAAGTAAATTTTGCTTCTTTCTTTTGACTTGGTATTCCCACATCAATAAGGCAGCTCAGCCTAATGGTTACCAGCACCAGCTCTGGAATTTTTTAATGAGTAAATAGCTAAGTGATCTTGGGGAAGACACTAAATCTCCCAGTGTGAAGTCTCTCACAGAATGTTATTACGTCAAGCATTGCTCAGTAAAAACTGACTGTGCCTTTACTGCTACCACCACTACTTCTGCTTTTGCTGCCACCTCTATCGTCACCTCCTCCTCCTGAATTACCTCCACTTCATCTATGACTTCCTCCACCTTCTATACCATAACCTTCTCCTCCTGTACCACATCCACCTCTGCTTCCTCAATCTCCTGTACTATTACCACCTACTCCAACATCACCTCCATCTCCTATATCATCATCCTAACTCCTACATCATGATCTCCTGGTATCATCTACTCCTCTTCTACCACCTTTACCTTCTTCATCAACACCTCCTCTATCCAACTCCTCCACCATCACCTCCACTACCTCACTTTTTCTAATTCTTCCATCTCTTTCTCCATCACCATCAGTTCCTCCAACCACTCCATGACTCCATCTCCATTTTGTTCATCACCAACATTATCATGAGGATACAAAAATGGGTCACCTGGGATGACCTCTAATAGAGCAAACTACTATGAGTATAACATGAAGATTTAGTGAACATATTTTCTTATTTCCTTCTAGTTTTACTTTTCTGAAGTGATTGTACTCATAAGCAGCAGTTGCTAGCACGGTTTCTGAGACTAGCATGCAGGTGCAGGAATGCTCACCCAAGAAGAGTGCTCCAAAGCAGCTGGGATCCCATATTGTACACCAAGAGGAACCTTTGTTTGTGGATTTACTCACTGGATGTTTATGAGGAAATTAACAGCAAATAACAGAAAAAAATGAACTCACAATGAGTTCAGAGGCATAAATTCCAAAAGTGGCCTTATCAACCTGCACTCACCTGTTGGTAAAGTGGAAAACTCTTGGCAGACAAACCCCACAAGGCTTTCGTCCTCTACTAGAATCTTGGTTAAGTATTTACGCTGTAATTTTTAAATCTAGTTACAGAAAACAAAAATTAAAATTCATAACTTCCCCAAGAAGTTATGAACAACTTGTTACACATCTTCACAACATCCCTGCGAGTCACAGTTGTCTGTGCTTGGGAACCCAAGGACTAGAGGCAAGAAAAGGGTGGTGGCAAGAAGATGGTTTATACTTACTCTCCTTGCCTCTCATGAAACTCTGCTTGTGCCAACTCTGCATGACGTTAGTCTCCTAACTTTATGAGGAATGGCTCTATGAACTCCTCAATCCATACCAGTCAGGCATTCTGCCTCCCCGACTCTGTCTGATCTAGAAAATCTTACCCAACTCCTTACCAGAGATCAAAGGAAATAATCAGGTCTTCTATGTCTAGGTCTTTCATTATAGCTATAACTTAAAACAGAAATAATGTTAGCAAAATGATTATCTGACTAAAATTCAGAACCAGGTGTAAATAATAACAGAGACCCAGTTTTGCTACAAGAAAGGGGCAGCTATTACTCAGAGA